CTAGTACTTTTGCAGTCCACTCGAGCGAGGAAAGTCACGCTCGAGCGGAGCTCCTTTGTCTACATGTCCGCTTGAGCATAGAAATCCACGCTCGAGCGAGACCCCTGCTTTCTGAAAATTCTGAAAAGTGTTTTAAAGTGCATCTTTGCATCCTCATTCCATCCTAGGCATTCCTAGGCCTAGTTTAAGGCATCTTAATGAGGATAATGCTATAGAACCATACCGAGTCAAGATAGAGACTAAGTCATTGATTCCTAAGTGTGTAACTTAGTGTGTGTTCATTTTGTAACTGTGTAGGGTTGGCATTCGAGGACGCCCACTAGCCTTTCTGTAGCCCAGAACTCTGTGAGTAACAATGTTGCAAAGATATATTCAATCATGAATATTTTCTGAATGATCACCGTACTGCTTTCTGAAATGATATTTTTTATTGAATGAATGCATGTCCTATTTGCGAACTGTATTCGTGGCATCCATAGCAATTTATTGTTACTGTACTGTACTGCTATTGTCACAGAGATCTCTATCGGTTCCCATGTTTGGAACCACTACTGTTTACTGATATGATGGCCATCAACTGACTGTTCGGTCTGTTAAGACCTACTGTACTGTTTGCTATTGGATGTACCACTTATGACTGTTATGATCGAATAACTGATATACTATTCAAATGACTGTTTTAAATACTGAAAGGACATTCATTCCTAACCTCTTTAAGCATATGTTATTCACTGGGCTTTAGCTCACTGTTTATATATATATGTAGGTGTCCAGACACCGGATCGGAGATAGGAGCGTTGGGTTTAACTCCCTTTTGTCAAGCCAACCACTGTGCCTCACTGTGAGGTTCCAAGTCCTTCAAGTTAGGGCTTTTGGGGTGTTTAGATTCATCATTTCTGTCTCTGTTTTTGAATAGACTGACTGTACCGTACTGTACTGTTCTAATAGGGATTAGGTCCCTGCCCTGGATGATTGCATATGTATGTATATACTGTTTTGGTTCAGAATGTGAATATGTTATGAAAAGTCTTTTTTTGCATACAAACTGTCACAGTTCATTGGACATCTTTTATTACTGTTTTGGCTTCTGCCCGCCCCTGTACTCTGTATTACTATTATTACTGTTAAGCAGGCCTTCGGTAATCACGGATTACTGGCCGGTTATAGTGCTAAACCCATAGGGGCAGGTTTGGGCTGTGACATTTTCTTTAGAGATTTCCATACATTCAAGGATTCTGTCAACTTTGCAAAACTAATAAATAAAATCCTCGGCATGACAAGAAGCATTAAAATAGGAAATTTCTAGTGGTACTTGATAATTTGAAAAGTCATGATTGATGCAATTATTGCTATTGAATACATCACTGAATCTTCATTGTTGCCTTTCCGACTGATATTCACCATAATCCTCGAATAACTCATCTTCAGATTCGTCCTCACTATTGTATTGATAACAAGAAGATCGTCTTAAGACGTTGTGGTTAATAGGCTGGCCTTGGGCAAACCCCATAGCGCGGTTCCTATTAACGTTGTGACTAACAAGTTGGCCTTGGGCAAGTCTCTTGACTCGAATCCTATTAGAACTTTCTCTACGATCATTGTCAATACAGATTGCGCTTTCTCTTTCGATGAATGACATCGAGTAAGAAGAAACCTTCTTCTGATACCACTTGACGCAGCGGAATATACGGGGACTAGATATTGTTCTAGTGGATGAAAGGGATTCTCGAATCCACGAGAAAAATAGAACCTTGAATCCATAAGAAAGGAAAAATATCTTAATATTATTGATTGAATGAATAAAAGTTGTCTTTGCCATGAGACTTACATAGTTATTTATAATAAACTAAACCTAATATTTGTAGGAAAAGTAATTCTAAAATAAACTAGGAAAGTTAAATCAACACAAATTAGGAAACCTAAGAGAATAGGAAACTAAAATTCTAAACTATATAAAATCCTAGTCAAAATCTAATTCCAAAATAATAAAATTAATAAATAATATATCAAGAAGATTAAAACTAAAAATATAAAAGTTCTTAAAATCTTGTCCTACATCATCTTCTCTCTTTGAAAGCTCGATCAATCGATCCAACATCTCCATCTCCATCTTGTTTGCAGAGCACTTCTAGTTCGAACCCTAGGTAAATTCTTCTACTGAATAAGTTTTGTTTAAATAGAAAAAAAGTGTTTTTTGTTGTTGTTGTTGTTGTGTTGAAAAATTGATTTTCATTCTTGTTTTGTTTGTCACTTTCAAGTATTTGCTAATTCTGAGCAAAGAGCCCAATTATGCATATACATCACATGTTAATGTGAAATGGATGGTACATGACAGGCATAAACCTGGTTTTAATCCAAGATTTTATTATATGAAAACCCTCAATTTCTTATTGAACCAAATAAAGTATATATATTTTATATTCTGAATCTTTGTACTTGATCAAAATTCAAAAACAGCTAAAACATGGATTAATTCAAAATTAGACTAGGCACTTGGATTCAAATACAAACTGGCTATGCTAATCATAATTTTTAACAGTGATATAGCTGAAATTTTATCACCAACCCACAATAAAACTATCTGATTGAAGATAAATCCTAATTTTCATGTGCCATATATATACTGGGTAAAAGACAAAAATGTGATTGGATGGTGATATCAAATATCAACCTTGTATTCAAATATAGAAGTTATCTTTTGACTCGAATCATCATCGTAACTTCCAGCTCCATATGGCCAAGTTTAAAGTGGGTAACCCAACCAAAAAAAAAACCAAAAAAGCAAAAAAAAAAAAGGAAAAAATGCCCCCAAAACGGATTGACGTGTTCTGTTGATTTTGAAACCATGGTTGGTCGGCTGCGGATGGAGATTTCATCACCCAATTTTATTTTTTGGTTTATACCCAATAATGGGGCGTTGTTTTTTATACCCATTAATGGCCTATGAAGCTGCTTTTTATCCATGTTATTTACACAAATTTGTGTGTTCTTTTTCAAAATCATGACCATGGATGGAAGGAATTCTTTGGCCTATACAACCATTAACGGCATTTAAAATCCACAAACTTTGAGCTGTGCTTTTGTAAGATTTTTCAATTCATGTCACCATTGGCAGACTTACATATCAAATTGATCTGTTTTCCCTGGCATAGTCCTCAAAATTGGCTAGTCACTATCTTGAACAAGGACCACTTTTTATTTATTTTTTATTTTTTTATGACCGAGTGTTGAGATCAGTTTACGCGCATCTTGACTAATCCCAATACTCACGTAAAGCGCACCCTCCACGTAGATTAGGCAAATCTCGGGCAAAGCCTGCAGATGTTGTTGGAAATGGTAGAAAAATTCTGGGTAAAACCAGAATTTTTTCTCAAGTTTGGTCTATTTTTTAGGTGGGCCCCGAGCATCGATTTACTCGGGTCAAAGTGGTAACGCGTTCTATGCCGCGTTGTGATTCATGTGATATATTTGGTTGCTCAAAACCATTATCGAGTGAATGGGAAATTGAAGCCAAAGTGTGCTCCATGGAAATGGAGTTATGGTGGAAATTCCTTAAAGTTGTAAATTGGCTTGTCCCACATTAATTTGGTGGGAAGTTTTGAAAGGGTTTATAAGGCTTAGGGTGAGATACTTGGGGTGTGCCCCAAGGGCTACCCAAGTGTTTTAGAGGGAGAGGTTATGGGCAAAATGGGCTAGACCCATTGGACCCAAAAATCACCACACGCGCCGCCGTCCGGTTGGGCGCGGGTGTGTGGTTGGACTTCTAATCTTTTTGGGCCAAAAACATTTGAATTTAATTTTATTTTTTATTAAAATAAAATCCAGAATTCAAATTAAACTGGTTTGCAATTATTGTTCATCCAAACAGGGCCCTTCCCGTTTTCAAACAGAATTAAACTGTTTTGGATTTATTGCTCATCCAAACAGAGCCTTTCCCGTTTTCAAACAGAATTAAACTGTTTTGGATTTATTGCTCATCCAAATAGAGCCCTTCCCGTTTCTATCTGTTTGAATAAACAGATTCAAATCTGTTTAAATTTGAATCTAACAGGTTTCATACCTGTTCAATTCAAAACCAAGAGCCACATACCTGTTTAATTCAAATCCAAGAGCCACCTTCACATCTATAAATAGGACCACCCTCATTTGATGTGATAATTCAGAAATTTCGTATTTCACCTCTGCTTATTCTATTCTTCATTTTGTTGCATTTTATTTCTGAAAGAAATAGTGTAAACACTTAGTGTGTTCGTAAGGCAAATAATTTGTAGTGCTGCTATTGTTTGTGGTAGATCATTTCATCCTGGGAGATAGACGTCCAAATTCTGAAAGCACCGTGGAGAGGACGAATCTGTCTTAAGGACACAGTGTCAAACACTGGACTTGATCAGTAAATAATTCGAAGAAATTAAATCAAGTAAGTTATTTAATTACTTTCAGTGTTGTTTTTATTTGTTTATTTAATCAGATTTTAATTTTGTTTTTGTAACAAAATAAAATCTGTGGTTTTATTTATTTATTTTTATTTCGAGTTTGATTTTTGTAATCAAACAAATTCTCTCCTTTTCTTTATTTCTTTAAATTCTAATTGTTGTTGTGTACACAATAGAATTAAATCTTTTAAATACAGTGAAGATTGTCCTACAGACGTGGCCCCAAAGAGTTGATAGCACTTAATGGGAGTTGAACCTGCGATATGGGGGGAGCACACCCTAGGCCCCCACTAGGCCAACCACTTGGGGTTAATGAGGACAACTCTTCTTAACCTTCACAAACACTGAATAGTTTCTTAATGGTCAAAGATATTGCTCAATATAAAAAAAAATAACTTTGAAGAAGATGTTCCTTTGAATATTCATATGACACGAAAACCATTTTATTTATTACTATTTGTCCCTTCAGTCAATGTTATTAGCAATTAAGAAAACATTATGTAAATTTTTTTTTAATATTTGGAAAATAAATTTATAACTTGGATTGGCAGTGCACTATTGTCCTGGTAAGAAGAAAATGGTGGTCACAAGCAACAGGGAAGCAATTCAGACACAAATTGAGCCTGAATATGAGTGGAGAAGTGAATTAAAGGGTTTTGATGATTCTAAAGCTGGTGTAAAGGGTCTCCTAGATGCCGGGGTGACAAAAATCCCACACATATTCATCCATGAGAAAAGCATGCTTCCTGATATTCATAAGTCCGGCTCTGTTATCTCCCAGTTCAGTGTTCGAATCATCGACTTTGAAGGCATCAACAAAGGCGCAGCTCAACACGGTGAAATCATTGACAAAGTTAGAGATGCCTGTGAAAAATGGGGATTCTTTCAGGTGGTTAATCATGGAATCCCAATAAGTATAATGGATGATATGATTGATGGAGTTTGGAGATTTCATGAGCAAGATACTGAGGTGAAGAAACAATTCTATTCGCGTGATGTTACTAAAAAATTTATATATAATATCAACTTTGATCTGTATCAAGCACGGGCATCTAATTGGAGGGATACCATTTCTTGTGTTATGGCTCCTCAGCCTCCTGAACTGAAGAACTGCCTGTAGTGTGCAGGTATGTGATTAGTCTATGTTTGCCATTGATACATTGAATCAAAAAAAATATGTCAAAACGAGTGGAAATTGTAGTTTTGCAAGACAAATTTGGACATGTTTAGGGATAAAGGGACATTACAGTAATACAAAAAAAGAAAGTTCTAATTTGTATAGATATTTTTGTGCAATTTGTGAATTTCTCACTTAATTTCGGTAAGCATAATCTCTGCAACCTCCGTCATTTCTTTACTTTTTGTTTGCTTTGAGGGTTGTTTCAACCTTGGGATTGTCTAAGCTTGAGATTGAAGTCCATTCTTAATGGTTTAATCCTCTTTTGGGAGTTCATTATCAACGGCATGACACCTCTCTCTTGCCTTAAACTACCTCTTGTTTGACACTTCCTTCTCTATTAGAGGACTTTAATTCACCTTTTAGACTTAATTGGTTAAAGAATGGAAGGGTAATTAAAAGGGGGTAGCTAAAAGTTGAAACTAAAATTGTGCAAAGATAAGAATTTGATTATGTCTTGGTGTGTTCAGTCGGACGTTAATTGAACACATGGAACTTGGACCATTTCATACTTGCTAGTAATGAAATGATTCAAGCCTCCAAAGTTACCTTCTTCCCTTGATCATTCATGAAAGGGAGCAGGCTTGTGTCTTGTTTTGCATTTATTGAACTTGCACACTTGGTTTCACAAGCCATAATACAATGAAATTGCATCCATTGATGGGTTGTGAAACGAAGCTTGCTACTTCTTTGATTTTCCCATAAAAAGGAGGGGTAGGTTGTGCAAACAAACCCTTGAGATACCCTGTATATGCTCTGTTTGTCTTCTGTTGCACCAAGATGAACCTGTGCATCAGTGGTCGGCAGACCACTTTCCATGGCCGGCAGACCACCATCCATGGCCGGCAACCTTCAACCATGGCCGGCTGGTGGCCTGCAACCTTTACCAGTGGCCGGCCACCCACTGATGCAAAATTCAGCAGAGTATTGGTAAGACAGAGCAGAGTGAGCAGCAGTGTTGGTGTTCAACTGTGACCGAAGAGGTTGAATCTGTTCAAACAGTGTCGAATAGGTACTGTATCTGTTCAAAAAAGATTTGCTACCTGTTGGATTCAAATTGAAAAGCCACCACTCCATCTATAAATAGGCAGCCCTTATTTGGTGTTTTTATTCACAATTTTTTGTCTAGAAAAATACTGCATTACTCTATATTTTGTTGCATTATTGTTCTTATGAGAAAGTGTATAAACACATAGTGTGTTCGTTGTGCGAATAAATTATAGTGTTGCATTTATTCGTTGTTGATCATTTTATCCTGGGAGATAAACGCCCCAAAATCTGAAAGCACCGTGGAGAGGACGAATTTGTCTTTCGGACACAGTGTCTAACATTAGACTTGATCAGAATATTGTTCAAGAAATTAATCAAGTAAGTTGTTAATTTATTTTCTGATTTATTTTTTATTTAAATCAGATTTTGATTTTGTTTTTGTAACAAAATAAAAATATGTTTTTATTTATTTTACTTTATTTATCTGGTTTGATTTTTGTAATCAAACAAATTCTCTCATTTTCTTTTATTTCTTTTGTACTCTATTTGTTGTTAAGTACACAAACAAAATTTATTTTTCAAATACAGTGAAGATTGTCCATGACTTATTAATAACTTTCCACTTCAATCGGCATTTTTTTTTGTTGGTAAAATTTTATTTATCCTAATAATACTAAATGCGCTAAAATATTTGGGGCTCACTCTGTTAGAATTGCTGTGACTTATTTGACTGCTCAACTTGCAGAGATACAATGATAGAATACTCAAAGTACATGATGAGATTGGGGCTCACTTTGTTAGAATTGCTCTCAGAGGCCCTTGGCCTTAGATCACCTGAAAGACATGGATTGCACTGAGGGGCTTTTCGTTCTGGGCCATTACTATCCTGCATGCCCAGAACCAGAATTGACTTTGGGTACTGGAGACCATGCTGACAGTGGCTTCTTTACTGTACTTCTACAAGACAATATGGGTGGCCTCCAAATCCTTCACGAAAATCAATGGGTTGATGTTCCCCCTCGGCCTGGGGTTCTGTTAGTAAACATTGCAGATCTATTGCAGGCAAGTCTGTACATATAACACACTGAACTTGATGATTTGTTTGCCTTGCTGTTTTGGTTTTTCTTTCTCTGTTTCAATAGCATATTCACACCTGAGGTCTCATTAAAAAATTTAAGAGAGGGTATCCCTTGTCTGCTGATGACTTGAATCTACTGTCTCTTTATAATTGTGGCTCTGAGGGTGTGGCTTACACTAGGTTTGTTTTGGTGGAAAATATTATAAAACTTTTTGTTGCAACCTTGAAACTGATGTGCTTGTGGTTGTGGTGCAGTAGTGCTGGTTGCAGTGGTGCCGGTGACAACAACGAAAGGTGGAAAATGTATAATGGGGACAGAATAACCAGTTATGTCAAGTCTTCCTTTGCGATTTTTCCTGATATTGATGCCTCAAGTTAAAATTGTTTAATTTGTGCATGTATGGATAGGATGCATAAGCAATCAAGTATGTCCATGCTTTCTATTGAAATAGCTCATTTTTGATAGCTTTGACATTGTAACTGGAGCAATGAACATTGATAGTGGAAGCCTATGTATGAAAAATAAAAATTTTCACATCCCAAGTATATGCATTATTTTATTGTTTTTAATTCTTTATTTGAACATAGAGCACTCATTTATTTTAGTTTATCATGTTTTCCATTATGCAGCTCATCACAAATGACAAGTTCAAAAGCATCAACCACAGAGTACTCACAAAAAATGTTGGTCCAAGAATATCTGTTGCGAGTTTTTTCAGAACACATTTTTGCGAAGGGGTTACATCAAGAGTGTATGGGCCAATCAAAGAACTGTCATCCAAAGAGAATCCTCCAATCTACCGGGACACCACGATTAAAGCATTCATCATGCACTATTACCAGAGAGGGCTCGATGGAACCTCTTTGCTGTCGCATTTCAAGTTGTGTAAGTAGGCTATGGAGATTTGGGATCAACTTTGGTTTGGTCTTGGTTAATCATTATTTCGTTGTGAACATGTGATTGTTGACCAAAGGTATTAATTAATCCATAGGGTTTTACTTGATGCTGAAACAAGGAAACATTGATAATATGATTGGAATAAGTTTCAAAGTTAAACAACTACAAAACTAATGGCTTGTGCATTTTGCAAGTCCAGTGGTTTTCTGCATACATTTCATGATGTCAAGACTCTATGCTTTTTAGAAAATGAATATAACATCCTACTGGTAGGGGTGAACAGCGGATATACCGATCCGCCAAAACCGACCGAACCGAACCGATCCGCCGCATTTTGGACGGATGCGTGATGACGAGCGGACGGTTGCGGATTGATTTTCTTCAATCCGCCAATTTGGCGGACGGATGGCGGATTTGAGATTTCTTTGGCCGCAACCGAACCGCCAAACCGTCAAACCATGAGCACCCCTAGTAATTTATAAGATTTTGTGTTTTCAATTTGTTTAAATATTATGTTTGTGTTTTCAATTGAAAAAGAGTTTAAATATTCTGTTGAAAAAAAGTTTTCAACTTGAATATATTTTTTGAATTGAAAAAAATAAACGTATTATTTATCTATATTTTTTGATTTTTAAATTTAACTCTAAAAATAGTAAATAGAAAATATGATATATGATGGTTGGTTTTTGTTTTCAAAAACATATATAGATGTAACAATATAGAGACATACAATCTCTACTACTGCCTTATTCATGGTTTTGGTGGTTTGAATTGTTATTATATTTTAAGAACCACAATTGTAATACTTTATGTAGATGAATCATGCTGTGATTGTAATATGTGGATGAGCCATTTTATGGCTTTATTTTGTAAATTGTGATTTTTGTTGTCTTAGATCGGTGAAGGATGCCACCTCGAATAGCCTCATACTGAGGGGAGAGAGCTGTTAAGAACTGGACTAAACGACCCTGTTCCCGAAACTCAATATAAGTGTCTAGTATCTTGAGACTAGGTGGTTCCATAAGAGCCAACTGATCCCAGAGACCTGTCATCTCAATATAAAAGTCCTGAATAGTTTGATCCCGCTGACGAGCACCCTGAATAGTTGTTTCCAACTCATACCGCTTGGCAAAATTGGACTGTTGATAAACACCGAGTAAATAATCCCACACTTCCTTGGCAGTACTGTACTTGGAAAACATCATTCCAATACGGTCATCCACAGAGTTGTGAAACCAGGTAAGAACTTGGGCATTATCACAATCCCAAGTGTCACAGGAAGACAGATACCCTTCTACCTTTGGGTTCGATGGACGAGGAGCAGAACTAGAAACATAGCCCCATTTTTTTGACCAAGAAGAAAATTCTTCATAACACTGGCCCAATAGGCATAATTACTACCATTGAGTTTACATTTAATGGCTTGAATTTTAGGGTCCATTATTGTAATAAACAAAAGATTAATGGGTCAAAGTATACTAATAACTTAATAAATGGGCCAAACAGGAATAAGGGTTTTAAATGGAAATACCCAAGTTGAAGCACAGAGATTGCGAAGCAGAGAAAGAGAGAGAGAGACTGAAGCTGAGATTGATCTTTAGATGGAGCTCGCGAAGATCTCAGACAGAGATCACGAAGCACAGAGGCAGACGAACCAGATTACTAGAGAGCCGACCACAGAGAGACGACCCCAGGAGTCACGAAGCACAGAAAGGCGACCACAGAGAGACGACCACAAGAGTCGACCAAGACGGAGACACGATGAGCCGCGAGGACGACTGAGACTGAGATGAGCAGTTCGATGGGTCAACTGAGACGACTCACTCGCGAGACGAGGCATTCAAAAGTAGCCCTTGCAGACGAAACAGATGCGTCACCCAAGTCACGAACAGAGATCGAACCAAAGGAGTTTGATCATGTACCAGATAATCGAGAAAGAGAGAACTCGATCAAACAGATGAATCACGAACAAGTTGAACCAGTTCGTGCGTAACCCTAGCCAACACGAAATCAGGAATCACAAAGCTCTGATACCATGTAAGTTTTCTAAACAACCTGTATATTAGATTGAATTAATTTGAACAAAGAATACATACATCATTTATATAGAGTACCACTAATTCCTAACCCTACATGAATACATTACTGAGATATATAGAAGTCTAATAGACATAGGACACTTATTCCTAATCCGAGGAGAACACATATTTCTCACACTGTCATCCAAAGAGAATCCTCCAATCTACCAGGACACCACGATTAAAGCATTCATCATGCACTATTACCAGAAAGGGCTCGATGGAACCTCTTTGCTGTCGCATTTCAAGTTGTGTAAGTAGGCTATGGAGATTTGGGATCAACTTTGGTTTGGTCTTGGTTAATCATTATTTCGTTGTGAACATGTGATTGTTGACCAAAGGTATTAATTAATCCATAGGGTTTTACTTGATGCTGAAACAAGGAAACATTGATAAGTTTCCAAGTTAAACAACCACAAAACTAATGGCTTGTGCATTTTGCAAGTCCAGTGGTTTTCTGCATACATTTCATGATGTCAAGACTCTATGCTTTTTAGAAAATGAATATAACATCCTACTGGGATGAATGTTACCAACAATGTAGGATCATGTTTTGTTTTTTCAAATAAAGTGGAGTATTTTTTACTTAATTAAAAAAAGAGTTTAGAAATCTGACTTTTATAGTAGCATGCATCTGATTTTGGGAAATTAGTGGGTACCCATTCCCAACCCATCCCCTGTGGATATTTAAAGAATATCACCTACCCTACCCAATGGATAAAAAAAAAAGGAAAACCCATGTATTTGGGTTGGGTCTCCATGGATACCCACAGGGTAGGTTATCCATTGCCATCCCTAGTCATTGGGGGAAATAAATATTGGATAGGCCTTGTCATATATTTGAATTTTTTAGTCATTGATTATAGATAATATTGACTACAACAAAAATACTTTGATGATTTATCTATTTAGTCACTCCGTAATTATAATTCAATCCAACCTAATTGAACAATTAAACATGACTTAAAAGTATTGGTTAACAAAGTTCTAAGGTTCTTGTTAATGAATATCTTAGTGCTTCAAATAGTTGTACATTTTGTAAGACATACATTTTTATAGAGAATGTACAACTATCTTAAGTTTCTTAAGTGTACTTATTAACAATATTCATGTTTTCAATATTTATATATTTTTCAAAGCACATACTGTATATAGCTATTTTAAACTTTTTAACCGGTGGTTTTTTGGGTACTCATGAACAAAATCCATATAAATTATACAATTTAAAAAATCTAACACTTAATAGTTCAATATTTATTCTTATGCTCTAGAAGGAAAACAAGAACAATTTTACTTATGCTGAAACAAGAAAACTGTGTTAAATAAGATTGGATGCAAATCAAGTGATTTTTTGCACATCTTTTGCATTATGTGAAAGCTCATACTTTTGAGCAGATGCACATAACATGCTATAGGGATGAATATTACCAACACATATAACTGATAATGTTTTGTTGCTTTTCAAATAAAGTAACAAAAAAGGAAAGAAAAGAAAAGAAATATTGAAATTTCTGTTCAATCATGGCAAAGTTCTTGAAATATTGGAAGAAATTAAATATTGAATAGAGATTGAGATATTTGAATTATTTATTTAATATTCACTATAAAATTACTTGTAACTCCCTCCATTCCGAATAGAAGTTTGTACGATCCATTAATATCACTTTTCATTCACCAATTTGATATGCTCCAACACATAGCACATGTGCATTTAGTGAAATTCAGAAAATATTGTTATTGTTGAGTTATGCTAGATTTTTTTTTTTTTTGAACAGATGTTAGATTTTGTATGACAAATGCTAATAAGAATTGAAAAAAAATGTCTGGAAAAAGTGTAAAAAAAATTATAAAATATTTTAAAATTTATAAAAAATGTATCAAATTTAATAATAAATGCATGAGATTGATATATCTTTTGTCATTTTCTTATTCCCTAGAACACTTGTTAGTAAGACGGATTTTGTATTAGAGAAATCACAAGTTTGTTTGGTATTTATGGATAAGTGTGTTTATAATTTTTTACTTTTATTTATATCTTTATATTATTCCTGACATTTATGTAATTACATGAGTGGAAACTAGTTCTTTTTTCCTAAGTTAATAAATGCTGATAAAAGACTGTCAAGTTTAGCAAATTCAATAATTTTCTTGACATTAACAATTGATCAGAAATTTTTTGTATAGCGATAAGACTGCTATTAACATTTGATTATAATTTTTATATGATTTTATAAACTTGGAAAAAATATTTTTTGTGTGTCAAAATGCTCACATGCATTTTTTTTGTTGTGTAACCTATAATTAAGACTTATTTCAGATTATTTATTCTGCAAAGTTTATGATTGACATTGTTGTTTATATTTTTATCATATTTGATGAGTAGTTTACAAAATTAATATCAAGAACTCCGTAGTTTTCAAATTTTTTTTTTATACCAAATTTAAATACCTAGTCAGAGTTTTGTTTGGACCTAAATTCATGCCTTCAACTTCAATGAATTTCATAAATAAATAAAAACTCATTCAACTTGATTTAAGTCATGTTTGAAATATAATTTTACATTGAAAATTGTGTTTTTGAAACCCTTTTATCAAACAAATATTACTGCTGGTTGAAGGACTTAATATTTTAGTTAAAAAATTAAAAAAATATTATAAATTGTTAAATTACTCTACCTATTTTTCTATATATTTTTTTTTAAAAATCAAAAAATTACTAAAATAGTCTGTTCTCAAATCAGAAATTTGAAAATAATATAATCAGTGCCTTTGGCCTAGTTTAAGACCCTTTTTGAATGTTATTTTTTTGACTAAAATATAAAGTAAAAATCGATATATGTTATTTTATTTTTTATTTGATGAAAGAATTAGAATAATTTTTTATCAAATCAAGCTTGTGAATAATTGGAAATGGTCTTATTATTTTATTTTTTATTTTTATTTCTTTGGTTATGATATTGCTTTAATTACAACATATGGATTTTTTAATTATGACTCATATTATGTTTAATATGACAATTTTATTTTTTCTTTTTGTTATAACCCATAAAATTGAAGTTAGACCATCTCTAATTCTTCATCTTTTATTTCATCAAATTTAAATTTGATGGCAAACCGTACAAAAGTAGTGCTTCAAAGCTTCATCTTTTGTTTCATCAAATTAAGGATATATCAAATTTTTCATTAAATTGAGAATGCTGAAACTTTTTATCAAATTACTGTAGGGAGCTGTGAGCTCTTGAGCATCGGACAACTAGCCGAATGTACCCCGGTCGAATAGTTATCCAATCTTTGTCAAATAGTTTCTAAAATCTAAACAAACATATTCATGGGTTTCAATTTAAGCAAATGGAGTTCAAAAAATAATTAACATACTTGAAATCTAAATATAAGTTATAAAATATAACTTGTATAAAATAAATTATGGTAATTCAAAACATACGTAAAATATATTATTGTAACTCAAAATATAATATATCTCACCTTAAAATTACTTCTAAATTATCCATGACTCACTTCCTCGTTTCTGAGGCTCCCCTTACAACCTAGATTTGCTTACTCATTCATATTTGTGTTTTCGGCTCGAATACCTTCTACTATAGCACCAACCCTCACTATTTATACATAACCAAGCGTGAGGCCCAAGCAAAAGGATCATACACGTAGGAACTTCCCCTCTTGCCACCTGTTTTACCCCGTTGGTTCTAACCTTTAGAATTTCCTAACAGTCACCTAACTCCTAAGAGTCACCTAACTCTTTGGCTCAAGAAAACTGATTTGGCTTCTCACAATTTTTATGGTTATTACCCTTTTGGTAATTTACAATGATGCCTAAAGTTACATATGATTATAAGTTTAGTTCGTATTTGAAAACCTCACCACCAAACTATAAAACATCACTTACTGTTACGAAAACATTTAATATTCTAAAAGTGCACTGTCCCACAATCTATCCTTTTAAACAATGTAATCTTTTAATTTCTAAGTTTTTAAACCACAAGCTTTCTTTTTTTTAGGTACAACAAAAAATACAAACAAACTAGTTCCTCTCCCTAGAGAGGCTGATCATATCAGCAACAAGATAACATTGAATTTCCTGTGGTGGATCATTAACCACCAAGATATCTTTAGGTTGCTCCGCTCCAAATTTGGCCAACGGATCCGCACATAAGTTCCCTTCTTTATAGATGTGGTGGATGGTGCATTCACATCCTTTGAAAATTATTTTTGCATCCTCCAACGGTCCTTTAAAAGGGAATTTATCGTCTATGACATCCTCCATCAGCTGCACAACTTGTTTAGCATCAGTCTCAATGATCACCTCGTGCATATCCTTCTGGAGCATCACTGCCAGTCCTTTGTAGAGAGCCCACAGTTCCGCCTCCAAGCTTGTTCCACTGTCCAGCCTTCCATAGTAGCCACACACCCAAGCGCCATGTTCATCTCTGAAAACTCCACCAAAACCGCCTCCACCTCCCAGCTTCCTACTGCCATCAACATTTAGTTTTATTTTACCTGCGGGAGGTAACATCCACTGTATCAATCTAAAAGCAAGCCTGGGATTAATAATGGACAAATTGAAAGCCAAATCAACATCTCTTGAGTAGTCAAGAATGAATTTAACACTATCCATGCCATTACACAACTTTTTTTCAAAAACAAAAACATTTCTATTTTTCCAAAATTTCCATAAAGTGATAATGAAGACAGAAGACCAAGTAGCTTGTTCATTAAAAGGCTTTTTATTCTTGGAATTAGACAAAAGCCAATCCTTCCAAGATAAGCTAAACATGTTTCTGCACCAGGTTCGGCCACATAAGGCCAGCCACACTTCTTTGGCTTTGAAGCAATGTTTGAATAGGTGATCCATGTCTTCCACCCCACAGCAGCTAGGGCATGTATGGGCAGATTGTAAGCCCCTCCTCAATCTCATAAGGTTAGTTAGCAGCTTTCCATGAAAAAGAAGCTACAAAAAACCTCTAAGTTTTTGAGGTAGCCTTACTTTCCAAATCCAGCTCCAGTTATCTACACAACTATGATGGCCCATGATAACATCATAGGCAGAGGCAGTAGAAAAACCTCCACAAAGGGTGCTATTCCAGATAAAACTATCTGTGACAGTAGAAGAAGGAGGAGGAGGAGGTGCAGCCAAAATGATAACAGCAATGCAAGAAGGCATTAAAGTGGACACAAGATCCACATTCCAACCTCCATGCTCATTCAAGAAAGCATTCACAGTACCAA